ATATGAGGTACTCAAGGCCAAACTGGCCTTGCCCTAAAAATGACGAAATTTAAGGCCTGCAACACAGACTATAAACTAGCTAAATAATCAACTAGGATGAGGTATTGTTATAACTGATTATTTTCATCTTTTCCACAGATTAAGGGAAATTGAAGAGAAGCGCATGAAAGATACCAGACCTTCAGAGCCTGAAAGGACTTGGCGTGATGATAAGTAAGTGAACTGCATTGTAAGAGGGTCATGGTGAATTATTAAGGGTTTTAGTAAGCAAAATCTTTGAGTGTATATGATGTTAAACCAAACTAGTGGAACCTTCTGAGTACTTCATGAGGAAAACACTTGCCCTCTCTGATACATTCAAGTATTTTGCTTCTTAACCCTGTAAATTCAATTTCAGCCTTTAGTTTACATGGGATTGGTGTTAATCAAATTAGTATACATGTTACATTCTAGGGCAAGTACATTTGATATAATCCCATTTAGACGGGACATTTTAAGAATAAGCTATCCCTGGGGATGTGCCTATTTTACTCCCACATAGGTATTATAATAGCAGCTATGTTGACTCCCAACTTGACTAAGAGTATTTTCTTTATCTGCCTGTCTGTATGAAAGCCTACAATGGTTGAAGGCCATTATTGTTCTTACACTTTGTTCTTTGTCTTTGCTCAGGCCGAAAGAGATATGGCGACCGGTCACTAAGGAAGGAGGCTGGAGGGAACGCGAGAGACAGCGTGAAGAAAGTCGCAGAGAGAGATCTAATCAGGAACCACAAGAGGAAGAGAGGGAAGCTCCTCCCACCCAGGAGCAGCCTGATTCTGAAGAGCGAGTGCAACAACAAGAAGCAGCACCACCAGCACCTGCTCCAGAGAGGGAGGAGAGGAGGATTAAGAGTCGCTTCGTGAGCCGGGACATCCGCTACGAGGAAGGCGGAGAGTTTCACCCAGCGACGAAAGAGCGAGAGGAGAGGCGTGCCAGGGAGGCAGCAGAGGAAGCTACACGTGCTCAACCCTCGAGGGATGAGGGGGAGACTTCAAGGCCTGCCGCCCGAGACACCCGCGTCGATGCACCTGACATCGTCCGTGACAGTGAAAGAAGAGATGACTCCAGTAGGAGCGATAATCGCAGTGCTTGGAGAAAGTCGGAAGGATCACCCAGAGAGATTGAAGGTCGCCCACCTCGCGATTTGGGTCGCCGTGACGAGGGTCCAAGGTCGTTCGGTCGCGATGAGCGGCCACGGGGAGGTTACGGCGGCGGCAGACGGGATGATGGTCCACCACCAAGAGATCTTGGTCCAAGAGATAGCGGTCGTAGGGAGGAGCGCTATGGTGGACAAGATGGCGACGACCGGAGTTGGAGAGGTGGTGGTGGCCAACAAAGAGGTGATGACTCCCAGCAGAGTGCCAGACGCTTAGAGAGGCCTCGCAGGGATGACGATGGAGGAGGAGGAGGAGGAGGAGGAGGAGGATGGAGAAGTGGCCGTGGTGGCGATCGTGGTGGAGATCGTGGCGGGTACGGCGGTGACCGAGGTGGAGATCGTGGTGGAGATCGTGGAGGCTATGGTGGTGATCGTGGCGGTGACCGCTATAGCGACCGTGGGGGCGACCGGTTCGGTGGCGACCGCCGTGGCGATCGCGGTGGTGACCGCGGTGGCGGTGCATGGCGCAACGATGACCGTGGCTCAAGGCCTGAGCCCCGAGGGGAACCCAGAGGACCAAGGGAAATGCAACGTCCGGTGAGGAATGAGGGTGGATCATCAAGGGTAGAAGAGCCAACCTGGCGGGGTCAGGGTGGAGAGAAGGGTGGGGAAAGAGGCGGTAATCAACAACGAGATGAACCCAAGAGAGAAGATGACGGATGGACCACTGTCAGCAAGCGTTAAATAGTTAAATTTATGAAAACCCCAAGTTCTAACTTGTTATTTGGTAGTTATTTGGTAATAAAGGCCTGCATTTCTTGTTCACCATCATTTGGATCAAATTGATGCTTTTCTTTTCCTTGCATGCATGACAGTATTGTCATCACAATGGCAGTAGCTCTAACAAATTTGACCATTTTTCTTTTGAAAGACAAGTTGGTGTGAAGCACACGTCATTCCTCTAATACATACGTTTGCATGAGACTTGCAAATATTGGTTGAAATAAGGTTTTGTGTTTAATTCTTTTAGTTTATTAAGACTAACTATACCATTTATTTGAGAGGAGATAACTAAAAAGAGAAGATTTTATTTTAACTTACTATTGTACCACATGAATGGCCACCTAGGGTGCTTGATATGGAAAAGTGGAAATTTACTCCTACTTATTTAAACTTCTTACATGAAACTTTTAACTATATCATGTAGTATTATTATAGAGTATGTTAACATTCAAATGAATGCAACTATTGAAGCATCGTCTTGATAGAATTTCCTGTGAGAGTTCCCAAATACTTTACATTCTGTGTTTAGCATGTCTGTTTCCTTTAGAGGCATTATTGCCATTAGTATTATGTATGTTTGAATTTGGAATAGTAAACATAAGATACACTTTGTTGTACAGCAAAGTACATGTACAAATTTGTGTTGAAAAATTAATGAAGATAAAGAGATGTCTCCCTCTAGGGGCGTTTTTGTTTGATCCTCCCCTTTATTTGGGTGGGGATGGGTAAGAGCTTTGATTGCATCGTTAGAAATCCTCATCTTTTTCTCATGGGAATTGAAAATCATGGGATTAAAAAGAATCGTTACTCATTTGAATGAAAATGATCAATTGTTGAAAACATACAATAGTAGAACTGAGAAGCTGTGTCTAACACTATTATTCATATCCATATTCTATTCCCCAATTAATGTTCTTTCATTCTTATTTCAGAGAATTATTTTATCTAAAATTTGTGAATTAACATTTCTGCATACTATCCACCTTAGTTTCTTTGGAATGAAAAAAAAAAAGATGATGAAATAAATAAAGGATTGTAATCAAATGATTATATCGAATGGAAGTTTCATTTTGTTTGTGTACATGTATATTGAATGTATTTTAAAATGAGAATCGTTCATTAGTTGTTCATGACGGCCATTTATGTAGCCTATCTGATATGCGTCGGGCTTTACAAGTATACCAATCACGTTATGGAGTCTGACATCGGCGAGGGTGTCAGACTCCAAAACGCGATTAGTTTATTTGCCATAAAGCCTGACGCATATCAGATAGGCTACCGTTTATGTGGCAAGAAACCTTCCAGTTCGTAGAGAGCACAATAGCACATGTACTGTCCTCCAAATATCCACACATGTTTTAAATATGGAGAAGTCCCACTTTGTGCATTTAAGAATGATCACTGCCAAAGTGATAGAGGTGCTTCATGAATACCTATGTTTGCCCTCATATAAAGAATACTTCCAGCTGTGTATCATAGAATATATCACCTGTAGTGTACATTAATGATTACATATCTTTCACGATCACTTATCAATTATTCTTCACAGGTTGTACAGTTTTGTACAGGTGACCTGTCATTTGCCCAGATTTGTGCAGATTTTCGAACTGGCTTATTGCAAAATTTCAACGTTTGGAATTCAATTATTTAGGGGGCATGAAGTTTTGCAAATCTCAAGTACATGTGCTTTCAAAATTTGATTTAACACGCAAAGTTTCTCATTTTAAAATTACATGAACTTTATGAAGACATATGACCTGTCTGCTCAAAACCATCATAGAGATGCTGAAATTATGTGTTTTGTCTGTAACTGGAGATCCCAAGATTTTCACTCCGAAGAAAACACTCGTTAAGTTGTACTTTACTTCATTCTAAACCCACTTCAGTATCGTGAAATGAGAGCAATCAATCTAATGGGACGTTGCAAGAAAGTTGCAATCAATTGCAAATCACAGAATCAAGCGTAAGTCTTGTGATGGCAACTCCACTTTCTTGCAACGCTCCATGAGAGAGAGAGGGAGAGAGAGAGAGAGAGAGAGAGAGGGGGGGGGGATATAAGCTAGATCTGAGTTAATTTAATTGATGAAACTTTAATCCTAGCAAAATCTTAGAAAAAAGAGGAAAGACGAAGAGATAGAGAGAGACAGAAGGGATGGGACGAAATAGTGCGCAACTGCTGATGAGGTAAGAAGGCATCACCATGATGACGTATGCAGTATACGTGAGCTTGCACCAATGTTATGTTAAACAATGTAAAGATATAGAGCGAGAGAGAGAGAGCGAGAGAGAGAGAGCGAGAGAGAGAGAGAGATAGATAGAGAGGGGGGAGAGAGAGATAGAGAGGGGGAGAGAGAGATATAAGCTAAATCTTAATTCATGATAAAACTTTAATCCTAACAAAATCTTAGGAAATTTAGGAGACTAGTGGGGCATGGCAAGAGAGTTGAGTTGCAATCAATCGCAACCTTCTTGCAATGCCCCAATAGTCTCTTTAGATTGGATAGGTACCCTTTTCCCAACCCTATGGTTTTGAGCTGTCGGGTAATATTTTCAGAATATTTTGTCACATAATCATCACAGCTAGATATATATATATATATATATATGACGATTTAACAGCAAACCTCAAATTAGAAGTAAAAAAAATTAGAACACACATTTTGTCAAGTCTTTGACCAACATCAGCATTACCTTCAGAGCCTAACCATACGTTTTATTATAGGATGGATTCAAAATTAACAACACCCCCACCCACAAGCCGTGACAGACCAATTTTTCAGACCTGGTTCTCGGACCTAAATAATCATTTCTGATTGATACACGCCCCCCCAAAGCCAATTACACACACACACACACACACACCCTCTGACAAAAAAGAAAAAAAAGTTATTGTGGAGGATTGCTCAACTCTATATCCAACCCAGGAACCCAAACACATCCATCATTTTAATGACATCTTTCAAGAAATAATTTTGGAGCAAAAGTTGCCAGAGAGTACATGTATGGCAAATCACCTCTCTCATCATATACACATCATAGAACATTTGTAGCATCCACATAAGACACAAAGACAAGCAGGTGACAGGTATACATGAATAATAGTTTTTATTTTTCCATATTGATGAATTACATATTTTTGATGCCACTTGGGTCTCAATCCCACAGCCACACTGCGAAAACTGACTCTAGACCGACGAATAACTGACAATATCATACCAGTCTCTGTTAGTGTAACTAGGTAATGAGCGATAGAGTACCGAAGTGTGACATCATACTGGCCAAGCTGTCAAGGTTGCTGGTTCGAAACGATTTTGTGCTAAACAATTGCAGGGTGATCACACCAGCCCCAAACACTGTATTTGCCCTGCTCCAGGCTCGCTGCTTGAATGATTTCACGCTAAACTGCATTTGCAGGCTCTGTTGTTTGAAACCAGTAGCCCGGACGACGAGCGAATATGACGAGAGCATTTGGGTACTCTATACCACCATGTATTGTAGATTTATATTGATATAAAATCTATATGAATATACCGGTAAAGATGCATTACGATATACTTCCGGTTTTATTACGTGCATGTCCATACCAATTGGCTCAACAAATATTGAGATAAATGAAAAGGAAGAATTCCTGCTTTTCAAACTAACCTTCCGATTAAAATATTACCATTTCATTTGCTGAGACACTTTTTGTGAAATAAAAACCCTTTCCAGTTAGGCTTAGGAACATAAAATATCTTTCCTCAGTTTGATAATGGGGTAAGAACGAAGAGGGTCTCCTTTTGTCCGAAAAATGGCAGTAAACTGCTATTTGTACCCTAATCTTGACATTTGCTTTAAAAAGAAAGTGGGCCAAGAAATATATGAATATATAAATATGATAGAAATCTAATCTATCAAATTATAATTTATACACAAATCTAAAGCGGTTATATTAATTATCATTTTGCTCAAGACGCACAACTGGATTACTCAAGGCCTCGATCACCTTTGCAGTTTCATTACAAGAAGTTCAAAAACTTGAAATGTTAGAATGTACTGTAGATGTCATAAATGGAAAGCACTATTATTCCTATGGAAATGCCCTGAGGCCATAATCCTGATTTTGGGACCTGGTATAAGAAGTACACATACAAAACAGAAACAAAATTTAGTAATTTACCTGTATTTCTTTTCTACAAAAACATACAGTATAAAGATTTATTTTGAAGAGACTTCTATTTTATAAATCACGCCTGACCATATAGGTGATCTATTATGAGGCTTAGCTTCATGAAAGTTTTCCTTCTTACAGAGTTGACCACATTCATAAATTTGGACAATGAGTGTTTGTTGTATTAAGATTTAACTGTTTAGATGATTTTACCTTGGCATTTAGAAATTAAAAAGTCAACTCTATATGAAATTAGACAAATCAATGTCGACTATAAGAAGAGGAAACAGTATTCTTAAATCTATATAGACATGATATCTGCATAGCCATAGAGGTGTACCAAGACCAATCTTCAGAGCTCATGGTCCAACATGATGCAAGACCGATTTAGTCCAGGGCTCCAGGCCTTAGTCCAGTTCTCCTTTTCTGCTGCCGAAGAGGTTTCCGATAGTCTAGTTTACTTTCTTGATATCTCCTCAAGTCTAGAAGCCAAGTTCATTGATCACATTGCATTGTTCCTTTCTTTCTTTCTCTCAGCATCACAACAGGTCAAAGGGCATGTATTAAATTGCTTTGGTGACCCCTACTAAGGCTGGTCTAAGAGTCCTTTCATGTAATTTATATCCTAATTTCTCTACGACGGCGACTGTCCCTGGCTCCTTGTCTGGTACAGGAATCTGAAAGAGAGCCTCGTGAATGTGGGGGTCAAACTTCTCATTGTTAACAGGGTTTATCACTTCTAGCTTGTTCTTGGCAAATACCTTAAATGGAGAGAAAAGAAGGGGAGAGAAAAGAAGGGAAAAAAAAAAAGGTTATTAAAAATGAACACATTTTCAATTTCTATTCAGCCCCCTAAATTCTTTCTTCTTTAAAAGCCCTAAAAGTAATTTTCCTGATTATCTGTTGTCATGTATGAAGTACCTGGACACAGCACAGGGGCGGATCCAGGATTTTCCAAAAGGGGGAGGGGGGGACGTGAAAATGTACAAAATTGCGAGAAGCGGAAACTGTTGAATCTTATTAAAGATGCTCTTTGGTACATTCTGAGGCTTTTCTAAATGTCTAAACTGAACATTTATGTGAATATTTCTTAGACTTTGTCAGGAATCCATCAATCGGTTCTTGAGACAACGTGATAACAAGAACGGGACGTAACGGAGGCATAAAAAATGAACAGAAGTTTTACAGATTCCCTACCTTCTGTAGTTGCGTCTCCGTCATGACGAGGCCCTCAAAGAGGTTCTTGAGGTGAATGTTTGCATCAGCACCACTCACAGCATCCTTTGGTACACTGGTGGTTGCCTTCCCCAGGATATCGGCAACCTCCAAGAGGTCTTTACAGAACCCCGAGATTGAATAGATCTTGGAATCGTTTAGCTGCTTGGTAAACCTCATCCGCACATTCTCCGTCTCGGCAAGGGCTCGTTTATATTTATCCTGAAAGAGAGAGAGAGAGGGGGGGGGGGGGGGGGGGTAGACATAGAGAGAAACCAAAAGTGATAGTATTTAATAAAAAATGAATGAATAAAATCTTTACCAAAAGCTTTACAATGCAACCCTAAGCAAATAAAACTCCATGGCCCGTATTCTACTATTACATCTCAACCTCAATTTCAATTCAATTTTTCAATTTCAATTTATTTGCTCATAAAAATCCAGAAAACACATGCGAACATTCATAAATCAACATAATACAAAGGGTAAAATTCACAAGAAAAATTAATAACAAAGTATACATTGGCTTCAACCTGAAACTGGGTTTAAGCACTTCCCAAATAATAATAAAAATTGTGCTCATAAAGCTCTTACCACCGAATTCTCTAAGCGCCAAAGGTCTAAGTTCTCTTTTGATAATATAATTTTAGACCCAGGGTCAGTTTAACTGAATTAGCAGTAATGAGAATAACCTTGTAAAATCAAAACCTAACATATTATGGGGAAAGAAAAGTAGAATACAAATAGATCGGTCTGGTAAATTTCATTTGTTGTCATAAATAAGAGTAAAAAGAGGAGGGAATATATTTCATCATCTCCCTAAGTCATCTAGCATCAATCATAATAGACAAATTATGAAGGTGAAATCCATTCAGCTCATAAATATTTCCTGGATATACTTAAAGGTAAAGACCAGTATTGGAAACGCCCCAATTTCAAAAAATGAAATGGAAGCTCTTATTACCAATCATGAGAAAGAATATGTTTTGACTAATACATGATGATACAAATTTGCCGGGAAACCGCCTACTAATTGATATATTTGGTAAATTATTTGGTAAAATCTATTGGGGTGTGCGAGATATAACGCATGTGTCGTGCACGTGTGCGTAGTCCCACATACATCTTTCTGTGTACAGTGCTTGTAACTTTACAAAGACTGGGCCAAATTTCTTATCATTTTGATGATTCCAGAACCTTGCAGTACACACCAATACTTATATGCTAGATGATCAACCTTTTCTGATCGATTCCACAACGTTTCTTTCACAATGCAATCGCATGACCATCACTGGTCTTTATCTTTAAGTTCCTATAATATGAATATATCATGGAACCGAGTATTTTTGATATGACAAACACTGTAACCTCCACCGTAACTTTCCTAACAATTTTCGGAACAACTTTAGGATTACCCCACCACTAAAATCGACCAAACGTTCGTAGGGTACCAAAAAGGTCACCAATGAAGCTAAATCTCTAGACTTAAGCTTTTTAAGTAACACTAAACCTAATCCTAACCCTAACTCTAACATAACCCTAAAGTTAAGCCCAATTTCCCTTAACAAAGATACAGTGAGAAAGAATTTACAGATGACAATTTGGAGATATTAAAACAACATTTTCCTTACTGTATACTCTGCTACTTGAGCTGTTAGTTTCGCCTTCTCTTCTGTTAGCTTCTGCTCGAGGTCTGTCATCTTCGTCTCCTCCTCAGATTTACTTCCATTTTCTTTGTTAACTTCTTTGGTTTCGGCGAACAGCGTCCTATAAAAAAAGAAAAAGAAATAACATTAGAAGGAAGAGGCTTCATCTGGTTAATCCCCCCTTGAAATCTAAATGAACTGGTGCCTCACGTAGAACTTTACCTTACATTTAGAGCATGCAAATTACATTGATCCTGTCTCAGCCTCATTTTCCTAAATTGGTGCCGCTTAATCAATATCAGTAGGCTGTTGTAACTTTGTAATTAATTAGTAAAGACAGTTGCACAGTGTTCTATTCTTGAATAAGGCTTTCCTTATAGAAAGTTTTATCAAAATCCATTGAGTTATAAAAAAAAAAGTATGACACTTTCTAGTTCAGAACTTCCTGAAAAGGTCACAACTTTTTCTTTGTTTTCTATGATAAAACAATACCATTGCCAAATCAAGCAAGTCAATTAAATCTTTAAATATTCATAACTTTTTAATAATTAACCCATACTGCCATAACAAAGATATTTACATCATTACAAAATAGTCTAGATCTAGGTCTAGTAATAAAATGCTTGTAGACCTAAGTTGTTCTGAGCGCTTTCTTAAAGGTATTACAAAGTTTTGGGAATTTTTGGGAAATTTTGAAAAATGGGTGGATAGTGATTCTTTACAATTTTGGATGTATTATAAGCACTAGAAATTTTAGCCCCTAAAACACTTCTGCTTTCGAGAAAAATTGAATATAAAGATTTACCGGTGCTCCCAGTAAATTTTGATAAATTTCAAAAAGCTCCTACAGCCGTACAAGGGTAGCCGCGACCATGAATATCTCAGAATATGTAGTTGTGGTATATAATTTCTGAACGGGAATAGCTAATCGGTCGATTTTAGTCAAGAAACATTGTTTTATAGCTTAATTAATATCTTGAACTTGAGAGGGAACTACACAACATAAAGTGTTTATTATTTACAATTTCAAAACTTTAGAGTCGATTTCGACCGCGACAACGATCACTGAATATTGTACATGATCGTATAGTCTATGCTTCCAATAGTCTATGTTCAATTGACCCAAATTCATGACCCCATACCAAAACTTTGTATTAGTTATTACCTTTAATATGCCTGCCAAAAATTATGCCAAAAGTCAAAACGTTAAAATTTTGAATTTAATTTCTTTGTTAGATTCTAGTTTGCCTTTTCCTGAGTGAGATGAGCTGCCAAATGGATTACCCAACCAAGTACCAAGTCACATAGAACTTAGCCTAGTAATAGAAGAAAAAAGAAGGCTAGATGATACAACGCATGCATACTTTTTCTTCGCTGGTTGAATCGACGATACAACATTGAAGGAATCGTCCCCGACGAAAAATCACCCCCTTTTTCCCCATCGACGTCATCGAAGAAGTTCAAATTATAATTTCAAGTGGCCAGCCAGAAGCCAAGAGGAGTCAAGCAACTATTTAGTAGATCTAGGCTAGATTAGAGGCCTAGGGTAGCGCGCCCAGTATTCGGTCAGACAGCCGTTTCAACAGCTGTAACAATTAAAAAAATAATTAATGAGCCACGAAACTTGCACAAATCAGGCAGCTGAACAACTTTTCTTAACTCGCAAAATTAAATCAGATTTAGGGCCCCGGAAAGATCTCCAACTTAGCTCGAAATTGGTCAGTGTCGCACAACTTTCCGCACTTTCGCGTTCTCTTAGCACATGCGCTAACATGCATAGCCATATGTAGAAGTCTATTGCGAAACAACTACGTGTGCTGTCACAATGAATTTAGTATGTGTGTGAAGAGAATCACTTCCGTGTTCGCTCCATCGCAACGAATTTGCAAATGACGCACTTGCCGATGTGCAAGAGGTATTTATACGATACCCTTGCCATGCGGTAAACGCATTGACATTCAGTGCTTTATCGCGCAATTGTGTGAAAATAGTGCGCAAATACGCTACGCTCCTTTGCAACGGAGATACCACGCACAAATCGCGTGACCGAATTCTGGTTGGCGCGACCGAATTCTGGGCAGAAAAATGCTCCGTCTTTTTTCGGAAGTCTTTTGCTTATCGTTATTCTATATTTTCAGTGACTATAAAATCCTGTTAGAGGAATAAATTTCTTTTCTTTTGATGGGTAGATTGCCCAATGAAAGAGGTAAGAATTCAAAATATTAGTGATTTCCCCTTAAGTGACCGAATACTGGGTACTCTACCCTAAGTCAAAATTGTAATTACTCCCTTAGCATATTTTGAGATAATGTTGCCCAACCCGCTGTTTGAATATTTTCCGATGCACCTGCTAGCTGCTGAAGCTCCGGCGCCTTCGGCATCGGCGTCGGAGCTTCCTGGAGTTAGTGCAGTGCCAGTGCCAGTGCCAGTGCCAGTGGGTATTGGTGGCAAGCTTATGCAACATCGGACAGTGTTTGCGAATGCGAGTTCGGACGTAAAGTTTCAAATTTAAATACACCATTTCAATGTCTTTCTCGGGATTTACTCTTCTTGAAAATATGACCGAATATCAATAAAATGAAAATTGCTTATAATTTACCTTGTGGAACTTAACTGACGCCGGCAAACGACGTTAAGCAATGAAACAGGTAGATTTAGACTGCGAACTCGGAGTCCCATGGTGGCTGCCATTTTGTAACACGTGAGATGGAACTACTTTTTGAAAGTACACTCTGCGCGGATTAATAACACCAAGACATTGTTCTGTTAATCGTCCCACTTGCTGAACAACGGCGTTTAAGTGAGAAACGCCAGATTGCCAATTTAACAGATGCTAAGGAATAAAATTAAGTTTTTTAATGTTTGTATAAAAACCATGGATTAAAGTAAATATTCAACGCGGGTGTACATATATGTACTATTTCATTCTATCAAAATGATCATTTACTGCAACGATATAAACAACATCTGAAAATACTTTGAGGATATAGTGACTACCAAGAATAAGACCCCATTCTCACTCACTTCGTTGGAGCGCTCTGGAGCGCTCTAACTAAGAGCCGCTCCTCAGGAGCGGTTCTTAGGTGAGTGAGAACGCTCAAAGTGGTCCAGGAAGCGGACTTCTGGACCGCTCCAGAAGTCCACCTTCCGAGGTGGTCTTGAGGAGCGGGTCTTATTAAGACTATAAGAGCGCTCCAGAGCGCTCTAACGTGCAATGTGAACGGAAAGCGTACTTTGAACGGAAGTGAGCTAGTGACCTTCGGTGCGTAGAGATCAGTGAGTACGGTACATACGGTTTGGATTCCGCGCGCAAAAAAATTGACCCGCCTACCTGAGCTGCCATAGCAACAAGACCACTTTGACTCTTGGAGCGGTTTGAGCCACTGCTCGGAGTGTGAACGCTCGCAAACCGTTCCTCAAGACCTGTTCCTCTGGAGCGGTCTGGAGCGGTCTAACTAAGACCACTTTCAAAGTGAGTGAGAACGGGGTCAAAGTTATATAATTTTCATCTCAGCTATGATCCTCATTGAAAAGTAAAGGTTGGTTATTGATTTAAAAAGTCTTTTCAAATAAAGCTTGATGCATGATACCAGTACAACTTACTGGTACGTCACATTTTAAAGAAAATGGCCGCGCCCATGAAATGCTGAAAGGCATATCACATCGTGCCCAGAAAATCTTCATTTATATATATCTCTTGTCAGGGGCGGCGAGTCTTTTCAGGGCAAAAACGTTTGAGGGAAAGATTCGCATCACCACCACCCTTACACGTTACACAGGCACTGGGAACGTTTTTCAAAGTGGGGGGGGGGGGGGGGGGGTGGGCTTAAGTCAGGTAGAGCAGAGCAAAGCATAGTGGAGCGTCCATTGGCGTGGGGTCCAGGGGCAAAGCCCCGGCGGGTGTCAAGGGGCGGAGCCTAATGAAGCTCAGGGGTTTTAGACATTTATTAAGGTCAGATGAGCATCCTGGGGGCGGATATGCTTCCAATATGTTAATTTGAACCAAATTCATGACCCCATACCAAAACTTTGTAATACCTTTAATATAATAATAATTATTATTATTGTTATCATCAATTTTATAATCTTCAATATCAGTATCATCATCATCATCATCATCAAAAATCACTATTATTTAGAATGAGGTAATCTATTATCATGATAAACATAATGGAATTCATTGTAATTGCATTACAAAAATTGTTTGAAATAAATCAAATTGTTTTACAGCAAACCCCCCCCCCCCCCTCGGAGTTTTTAAAGACTAATCTGTACACGTTATACCATGACAAAATTGGCAATGCTATAATTGATACTTTTTCCAGAGAATAGTCGGCAATGTCTATAATCAATAATTCTGAAATTAATCATTTTAGATGGGATTCTCATTATTACTAGAAGTTATTGAAATAAATTTTAAGATATTTATCTTTACGTCTTTGATAGAAATACCAATAATTTGTAATTAATGTCTTCTAAAGCTTTTATGTTGTAAGAACTATACTTTCTTTAGTGGAAGTATACTTTGCATACTGACTGCGTAATGCGACTTAGAAACGAATCAACATATTTGCACAGCAACAACGTACGGGTGATCATTATATAGAAAGCACGTACGGTACTCTGAGCTCGCGGCTGGTTATAACTTATATTCTGTGTGTGACAACTGTGGAATACCGTGATGAGAACCAAAACAACAACGATATAAAATTAACAAGATTGATGAGAACACCGTGAAATTAAAGCCTAACCATCACACAATATGACAGACGTAAGTACAATGACGAGTCTTACTCTCTTAGCTAGAATTCTAAGCTTAGATCTAACAGTAACAAGTTAGATCTAGGCCTAGACCTACAGGCAAATTAAGTAAACAACATTCTACTTGTGTCCTGTGATTGCATGTTTTTCTTTAATTTAATAATTAACCTGGTGATAATTCAGACGAAAGTTGTTCTTCTGACTGTCTCTGAATTCTGATTGAAATAACGATTTCGGTGAGACTGAGTGAGTGAGTGATCTGATCTGGAGACCATACTAGACTCTAGAGTCTGTTGATTTTAATTTTGTTGTTCTTCTAGCTAGATTAACAATAAGATCCAGAGAGTGTAGGGCCGGGCCAGGGGCTAGGGGGAAGGTAATTGACAAATTATGTCAGTTTTATTTCAAGGATTCCCCATACCGGTGGGGTGCTATACACTGCTGCTAGACTGTCTGTAGGCCTAGATCTAGGCCTAGACAGTTATTGCGTGTTTACAAATTTCGCTGGACTGTCAACAATTAATGCAGGCTAGTTTTATCGGCAGGGGTGCTGGTCCGAGAATATGGTTAAACGCGGACTGTTAACTTCCCAGAAATGAGGATCGTCCGCATTTTCGCGGACGATTCTGATTTCCGATCTGGAAAAACAGAATCCGCAGTGATTTTTTTGATGCATTTCACATTGACTTTGTACAGAGACTTTCACGTTACGAGCGATAAATCCTTGGGAAAATGGACAACTCTCAACATAAAAGTAGACGGTGAACTGGGGGTATTTTATTACGTGGAATCTTTTTTCCCCAAAATCCGCAAAGCGCCAAAGAAAGAAAATGTCAGCGAAAATGCGGACAATTTTTTAGGACGCATTTTGTCCACGTTTACAAATGATATCCTTGTTTGTGCAGACGATCCTCATTCTCGGACCAGCGCCCCTATCTCTAATCTAGATCTAGTTTAATTAGCATATTTAGACTCTAACAGTTAGACCCTGTCTAACAGACTTTGTTATTTATGATTTTTGTTAATCTTGTTTGATTATTTTTTTCTGTGACCTAGGAAAAGAAACGAGATGAAAGTGCGGGGAAGGATAAGGTGGCCATCGAAGACACCGCTTTTGAGGCCCTGGAGAAGGACTTCCAGGAGGTCCTCAATGAGCTCATGGGCGATAAGAGTCTGGAGAAATTTAGGTCAGAATACGAGAAGCTCCACCGAGCCCTAAAGAAATCCCACGAAAGCGAAAAACGGCTGATGCATAAATGCAGGGAGCTCAACGCAGAGATTGTGGCCAACTCTGCCAAGGTCTCTACCGCCCTCAAACTCTCACAGGAGGACCAGACAACCATTGCACAATTAAAGAAGGTGAGTGAAACGAGTATGAAAGGAAATATAGCGCCTATCTTGCAAGAACAATAGAGCTTAAACAAATTTAGACAGAAAAGACATTCAATGGTTTGGTCTTTATATGAAAAATTCAAGATGATATTCTGTCTTACGCTTACCCTCTCTCTCTGGTACAGCTGTTTGTATATAAAATATGTGTGCCTTTTTACATTCAAGGTTTAAAGATGGATGTACATGTATTCCTTGTTATGTGTCATAACTGTAGCTTATGAACAGAAAATTGTATTTTCAACCGTGTGAAGCCATTGATGTTGCCAATGGGTGGTTCATGTATTTAAGCCTTTGGGAAAAAGAGAAATCGATTCGCAATGGGTTAAGAGCAGTCGACAAGTAGTCCACTTGAAAACACGTCTGGGGAGTGTTTCACAAAGACTAAGACCGACGTTAAGTAGGACTTAACTATGTCAGGCCATTCATGCCACTGGTTGCTCTCCCCATTATGATCTTTAGATAATATTTTTTCAAAAGATGCAAATTCTGTAGATTTGTGACCATGATTTGTATGTCCGTGAAAGACAAACTCCAGTGAATGGTGAGAGCAAACAGTGGCATGAACGGGGTGCCATATTTAAGTCCAACTTAAAGTCTTTGTGAAACACTCCACTGTTGTGTTACGCAGCTTAGTCAAGTCTGAAAATTAAACATTCACATAATGCATTATTCTTGGGCCCTGTAGGAGATTGAGAAAGCCTGGAAGATGGTCGATGCATCCCAAGAGAAGGAACAGAGAGCCAGGGAGACCATCCAGTCTCTCAAACTAGAGATCACGAACCTCAGTCGTCTGGTGGAGCAGGGTGCAGGACTTACCATGGGTCAAGAACACAGGTCAGTTGGTTAAGCAATCAAACCCACGTCCTTATTGGTCTGGGACTTCCTTTTTTGGTTTTCAATTCAATTCTCATTTTTTTAGATGATGAAATTGTTGTTGATAGTGATAGTGATTAGTCATGCAGTATTGAGTCGCAGTCTGCTCCCCCCCCCAAAAGTTTTTTTTGTTGAATCTCAAGCGATCAATAACATGGATCCTTTTCATAATCAATTATTGATGATATTGTTTTTGATAATGAAGCTGATGATGTGATGATGATGATAGTGATGATGGTCATGAAGAAGAAATAGATGATGATGTTGTTGTTGATAGTGATGATGATGATAATGATTGAAATAGGGTTATATAACCACTTATGAAGAGTTCAATTCCAAAATGAGCTAAATTCATTTTTATAACTTCAGAGAAAAAAAAAATTGTTAACCAGATTTTGTACAGGCATCTATGGAAAAGTGATATTAGAAGGTGCATTTTTTCATAATTGCTCCATAAATTTAGGTAAATAATTTTGTTGAAAGCAGATATATTATATGCTTATAATGATAATTATTATAACGATGTAAACCTCATCCTCTCTGTATCTGTGTAACGACAGTGTAAACGAGCTCCTGAAGGTGAAGGAAGATCTGACCAAGGAGAGAGACGAACAGCTTTCTGAGATTGTCAAGCTCCGAGACAACTTGACTGAAGCCAGCAAGAAGCAGACCAAGGCTGAGGAGGACAGGAATGAAGCTGACAGCAAGATCGCTGAGGTGAGTGTCCGAAAATAAATTCGGACGTGTCATTAATAATAATAATAATAATTGCGATTTATATAGCGCATAATAATCATCAAAGACAATCCTCTTTACATTGTTACATTCATACAATTTACATTATCACATATACATTACATATTAGGCCTACATTATTACATACAAATGATAGATAATTGCATTATTAATTACAAATTACAAATTAAATTACACAAATGATATTCCATTACAATAAATGATAATTACTTTGAAAATAGATAAGTTTTGACAGCAGTTGTTTTGACAACATTACAACTAAATGACTTGACATTTGTTTCAGCGAGTGGTGCCCCCAGGCTTACTTCATCAGAGATGTGGCGTGAGCGAGGAAACATGGCATACTGACCCAATGGCCCGAATTCACAAAAGAGGTTCAGACAAAACCTTCGTCTGAAATGCGTCAAAACGCTTCATATGACGCACATAAATCTAGGTTTGTCGACGAACCTCCTTTGCGAATTTGGGCCATTAGGTTAGTATGCCATGTTTCCTCGCCTTCTGTCCCTTCCCATGCCCTCCCAGCAAAAATATCTGAGGTTAGACAATTGCAGGACCTTATACCATGTTCCCCAACATTCTATTTTGTTTGATTCCCTCCCTCCCTCCGCAGCTGAACCAAGACATCCAGGTCCGCAGCAACGAGGCCCAGAGGGAGCAGCGTCGCAAGGAGAAGGTGGACCGGGAGCTCAAACAATCCAAGATGGAGCTGGAACAGAAGACCAACGAGATAAAGGGTATGCAGACCCAGTCCGGACGCTACAAGGATGACATCTCACGTCTGGAGACGCAGCTCAAAGAACAGAAGGTACACACGCTCAAACCTGGGACCCATTTCACAAAGCCTTTTTTCAATGACAAATTACCAAAATCAGTGACAAATCTGACGATAACCAATCAGAAGCAAGGATTTCAGTAGCTTATAACAAAAACTGTCATTTGTCACTGATGACAAGTTCTGTGAAAGGCCCCCCCTGATCCTCTGTAATTTGATTGCCTTCCACATTTACCTTATCATATAGCTCCATCTAGAAGACAGTTGAAATTGATTCAACTTTATTATACCTTGATATTCATCGCAAGTATGTACCGGTACTATATAAAAAAGAGATAAGTTTGTAAGTTTGCAAGTACTTGTAGAACTTGCAATCAATCTGTATCGATCACAACTTTTGATATGACTGGGCTGTAATAGTTTTGGGCCCTGGGCAATACATTTATTGAGTAATGTTGCCATGGTAATTAATATTGGTGGCAAAGTTACCATCAGTGGTAAGTTTCATGCGATGCTGGGGCCTTGGTTGACAAATTAAAGAAAAAAGTTTTTGTGAAAAAAATCAATGCCAAACTGTTGTATCAAAACACTTTCAAGAGGACCTTATATGAGTGCATGAATGGATGCTTAAAGGATGAGAGAAATGTCAGCACATCATAGCAAAGTAGTGAAAATGGCATATTTTGAAGGAAGGACTGTTGGATCAATTAAGTAGGATTCATCAAAATCATCATCAACGTCAAACTATATTATGCACAAACGAATGATATTCCTTGCATCTAAAGAAAATAACAAGTAATTCTTTTGTTTTGCAGATCCTGTACGAGCGCACCCAGAAGGACACTGACATCCTGAATGCCCGTTTCACCAAGCTGCAGCAAGATTACGAGACCCAGCTTCTCAACTGTGATGGCCTGGCTCAAGAGAATCAACACAGGGTCAATGAACTTAAGGTGAGGTCACTACACTTTTTTCTAAGTCTTTAAATTATTTTTCTCAAGCACTCTAAGGATCATTGTACTCTAGCTTGTAGAAAATACTTAGATTTCTTTGAAGGTCATTCAGTTGCCTAGATTTTTTTATTGAAAATGTCATACGACCTGTCAAATTGAAGAATATGCATTTTTGGATGATTGGTGTGTGTACACTATATGCATTTGTTAAGGACATAAGTCATGAATCATGTATTCAAAGCCCATATGCATTTAATTCTTTCAGCTCTTTTCGCATTGATATAGATCCCTGTGGAAAGAGATACTTAGTGTTCTCTGTCTATCCTCCTGAATACGTAAATACACTGGCTCTTCAGCCATGCTAAATTCATGATGGGACCCTGCACTTTCTTGATTAGACTGGTATCAAATCTTAAGACCCTCCCCACATCCTTCATGTACCTTATCCAGGAGAAAAATGATGTATTGTCTGGAGCCAGAAGGGCGATAGCTCATGAAGGTTAACACAGAGTTAGTGCCCTGCTGGCTGTAAACAGACCATATCTTTGAGATATCGATATCCCTCAAAAAAATTATCCAAGACAGCACCTTTCCATGAGTGGACTGGTACCAATTCTCATGTCTATCTCTCCCATCCCATGCATAATTGCTCATACAGGCCAAAGAGGACGAGATAGGGAACCTGAAGGGTGACACCACTCGCCTCACCAAGATGCGGGAGACCATTCAGCGTAAGCTGCGCAACGTGGAGGAGCAGAAGGGAGAGACGGAGCAAGCCAAAGAAACCCTCAAGTCACAGATTGTTGCACTGGAGAGAGGTGGGTCGATCGAATATATGAGAACATGTCTCATTGGATGTGTAAAAAACCAAAACCTATGGAATGTGGGATGCCAATTATTTTGTTTGTATCGCCTGTGTAACTGAGCAAAACATAGCATGGTGTCACTATTTTGGGCTTCATCGTTATCACAGTAGTAGTTGAAGTTGTAGTTGAAGCTGTTGTCCTCACCAACAATCATGCTGTACTTGCAATACTTTTTGGGCTAGGATCACTGAATTCATACTAATAGTTAAGTATGAGATAGTATTAACAGCATTCTTAATTAAGCAGTGTTCTATCATTTTTCCATGGATGAAGATTATCCAACAAATTACCATTATTGCTTAGTGTAAACTTTCAGAACCATGAACTATCCTTTCGCCTTGTTTCTTCTTCTAGTTTGGGACAATAGTCACTGATTATTGTTCATATTATCTGGGAAAATTTGCAACCAACGCAAGATTTTTAGCTCTTTTTCACTATCCATTTGTGCTTTCCATTAGTTTTGCCAATGGTTATCGAATTAGGATTAGAAAATATAGGCTAGGGTTTGAGTGGTTACACTCTGTATTGCTTTTGTTTCATATTTTTCATACTATCCTATTCATTTCCCTCCTACAGAGATTGATTCTAACAAGAAACAAACGGAGATGGATCGTAAGGCCATTGACGACTTGGTCCGTGAGAGGGACATCCTCAACAAGAACTTGCTCAAGGTAGGTCCGAACAGCATGAGGCTAGGGGAAAACCCAGTGATAAGAGCAAAACATAAATAGAATTGGTTGTTGGTGATTTTTACTATGGATATGTAGGGTCCTTAACCTACAGGGGGCAGATAACCCTCGATCATGAAGAAATGCCCCACTTTTCAATGATCCTTCAGGGCTTATATTCTTAAAAACCTTTCTTAGCTAGTTTTGAACTAATTACGTGGGCAATAGTACATAGTTAGTTGACAACTAGGCTTATAGTAAAAAAAATTATGGATATGAGCCCATGTGTCTATATAGTGGATTAGTCACCAGACTATGGAGCACATACTATTGCTTTCAAATCCGTAGCAGGTTCACCTCCTTGTCACCTTCTATAACATTTTGTATGAAGCTCTGGAACTTGTATTGTAAGCATTGGCGCTACCTCCAATGATTTGAAACACACCTAGAGAACTGCTGTATAATATGTTATTTTCGCAATGGGTTTCATTTTTGAGAATTGTTATAGGGTCCAAAATGTAATGACCGAAAAATGATCTGGTAGTGCATGTGCAAACATCACTTCTAAGTGGCCAGTGTACCACAAAAACAAGAATTTGCAAAAAATATCTGTGAAATCCCTGTAATATCTGTAGGTAAAAATATAGGTGTATGTTCTGTATGCTAGTGCTAACCTCCTCTCCACAGTGATATCATATACCTAATATTTCTTGTGCCAACCTCTTCCCCACGTAGGCTGCCAGCGCCACCCAGAAGCAGCTGAACCTGGTCAAGCTGCATGAGCAATCCAAGAAAAACCTGGAGCAGGAGATTGCCAACTACAAGGAGGAAGCTCAGAAGCAGCGTAAGATCATCTACCAGCTGGAGAAGGAGCGTGATCGCTACATCAACGAGGCCAGCGACCTCACCCAGAAGGTAAAATTGGCATCGCGGTTGAGTGGTTTTAACACTCTGTTGGGGATAGAAAGGTCTTGTGTTTGAGCCCCGGTACAAACACTTGTTGTCAAACTGGAAACTTTATGTGCGAGAAAAAAATGAAGTTTTACATGTTTTAATGGATTCCATAACACCAGAGATTTTCATTAACATGTATCTGATTTTTCGTGTATATTGATTGATTGATTTGTTTAAGGTTCATTTTGTAAGCCATGTTGTCATTTTATTCACTAAGATTATCACAAAGTTTCATTATTGAAATGGTCTTGAACTTTCATCGTGGAATGCTTTTGATTTTATTATGGATTTTGGCGTTCTTTTAAACAAAAAAAAGCTGCATTTGACAAAAAAAAAAAAAAAAAAAAATTGGGGGGGGGGGGGGGGGGGGGGACGCAGTTTTCATACAAACCTCATCTGATCTCTTTGTTAGGTACAGTACATAGTTTGATTTTCAAGATCCATATTATATGCCATGTTAGTATTTTCTGATATCTTTCTTACAATGGTCTTGAGCTTCAAAGGTCAGGTTCAAAGAATCCATTTACAGTACCCCCAAAATTGCGAAATTTGACGATAAAGTTTGGGCGATAAATTATCAAAACCACCTCTGATCTCTTTATTCAGGTTCTGCAACACATGGAGGATGTGAAGGTGAGAGAGATGCAGATCTTTGACTACAAGAAGAAGATTGCAGAGGCCGAGACCAAGCTAAAGCAGCAGCAGAACCTCTACGAAGCCGTCAGGAGCGACCGTAACCTCTACAGCAAGAACCTCATTGAGTCACAGGTAAGGTAGATCAAGGCAGTACAATAAATTGTACAATAATCACAATTACTATACAAGAGTAGTCAGTTAATCCATTAAAGTAAAATGGCACTTGATTATCAAAGAGTAGAAAATTGTTTTTATTGGGATAAAAGCTATGTAGTGTTCTAGATATTGGGATTCAGGAAGAAGATGGATAAGGAAAAGATGAATAAAGGGTAGAGAAGAAGAAAGGAGAATAAGGGGAAGAAAAAAGAAAAGGAAAATGTTTAAGGGATGTCATGGTGAGGAATGAATGCTGAAGGATACCTGAATAGAAAGGTGATTAATGAATGGAAAAGGAAAAGGTTGGATTTTGGGGTGAGGGATGGAGTAGAAGCAAAAGAAGAGAAAAAGATTCAATTTAATTGAATTTAAAATGGTTTACTAAGATACTCTCATTCCGGCTAAGCCGAATTGCGAAAATTTACAATGACACAACAAGGTAACACAATGATGCAACGATTGTTGGTAAAGAAAAAGATGATGTAAGGTTGAGGGAGAGATGATAAAAGGAAGTAAATAAATGTAAAATACCTATACTGGACCCTTACGGAGTCTTCTCAAATCCATAGCAACGGAATGAAAACGGGCATTATTATTTTATTTCATTTCATTTTGCCTCTCTCTCTCTACCCAGGATGAGATCACTGAGATGAAGAGGAAGCTGAAGATCATGAACCACCAGATCGACCAGCTGAAAGAGGAGATCACCGCCAAGGAGGCTGCCCTTGTCAAGGAACATCTCGATCACCAGAGGTACAAAAACTGAAACATTTATGACAGTTGTTTGTGACAAAATAGATGTGAAGTAAAAGTTTTAACTGCCACCCTTATACAAAGACCACCTTGTGTTTTCTTTGAAATGCTTCTATAAATTGCAATCAAAGGGATCCTGTATAAAAAAGTATCTGTCTGAAACACTATTTATATTACTGGTTTCCCCTGTATCAGGACCTTTAAGAATCTTTGTTTACCGGTGTAGAGTAATATTTAAACTCTTAAAAAGATTTCAAATACTAGCCATTTAAAAAAATCGAAAGTTACAATTACTAGTTGCTGTACACTAGGATTCAGATTAGTCTTCAACTCATGAATATACCTTAAGTTGAGCAATTGGTCTCTTTAGCTATAGGTATGTGAAAGCTCACAAACTGGAAGTTGTACTTTTGCTGCACCTTAAATAACAATTTTGCTCAAATTGGTTGATATGATGTCAAACAAGAGATAAAAAGAAAGAAAGAAAGATTACAGATGGTCCTTTTCCTCCCCTCTCTCTCACATGGTGCAACCGTAAACCTACTGTATATCTGCATCTCCATGCAAGCCAATATTTATAAGCAGCATCTAAGAGATATTAAGATTTTCTGACGGAGACTCGCTATAATTTTAATTGATTGTCTTTTCTAGGGTTGAGAAAGAGAAGGAAGCCCTGAAGGCAGAGCTACAGCGTATGAAGCAGCAGGCTTCAGAGAGCAAGGCTTACATCGAGGCCCAGGAGGCAGAGGAGAGGAAGCTCCTCAAGATCATCTCCGAGGCTGATGCTGAGAGGCTCAGACAGAAGAAAGAATTGGACCAGGTAATTATGCAGAGCAAATAAATTACATCAATACATGTGTTTAAGCCCCTCTGCACTAGCTGGCCAGGAGGAATTAGACCTCCCTACATGGTCACTGACAGGTGGTTATTTCATCAAATCAGCTCTCAATTAACATAAGAAAGAGGGGATCATGGGGGACCAACAGTCACAGATTAGGCATTGACTGCTATATAGAGGGTGCAAGTAGCTATAAGTGGTGCAGCGGGGATTTAAAGGCCATGCACCTGTCTTTAGTGGTGACTTTTTGTTTTCCTTGGGTTGCCAGTATAGAAAAGTTTCACTGTTCATCCAATACTTAGGGAGCAAGTGAATCAAGACACTACTCACCACATTTTTAACTGGTCATAAAGCAAAGTGTTGGTCTAGAGAATTAAGAGAGCAATATGCATGATGAATGTGCTTTATTTCTTGGTATCATGGGCATCAAAATCATATGTGGATATTCCTGAAAGTCTACTGCACATGATAGGCATTCATAGGTCTTGTCTCGGGGAAAGAACCATCTCATTCACGCTGCTCTGTCTATACCCACATGGTTGCAATGCACCGATTCCAGATATTGTCTTGATGTTTTAATCGTGATTATTCAGCAATCTCTTTGTTAGCAAAAGAGGGAAAAAACACTCTGTGGTCCTTAGGCTATATCCTACTGTATAACTGCAAGATCACAATGTGATCCTGTCTTGTGACCTTCCAACGATGTCCACAAACCACTTTTCCCCCATCAGGTCATCAGCGAGCGTGACATCCTGGGCACCCAGCTGGTGCGACGCAACGACGAGCTGGCCCTGCTCTATGAGAAGATCAAGATCCAGCACTCCACCCTGGGCAAGGGAGAGCTCCAGTACCGCCAGCGTCTGGAGGACATCAGGCTCCTCAAGCTCGAGATCAAGAAGCTCCGCAGGGAGAAGAACATCCTCAACAAGAATGTGGCCAATGTCGATGACCTCAGGTACGACGTCCGCAGAGGATGACAAGCTTTTAATGATAGCCCTTTTAATAATTATTTAATGTATGTTCTATTCTACCTTGACATTCTTTGTGTATATTTAAATGTTTTGCATGTTTTTTAAACTAAAGAACGAATAAAGAATGAACTTGAATGTTCACCAGGGCACACAAGTGTCACATACTCTTAATTCCTGCATCTCACCAAGAAGATTAGATAGAAGACGGTACTATACACTTGGTCACTTATTAGGTAATGTCCAGAGACTGGGGTTAGCGGCTAGGCTTCTCTATCTTCTCCAATCACTAGTTCTTATACTGAACCCTCCATAGCACAAGAACTGATTGCGATTGAAGAGGATACAGATTGAGATTGAAAATCAGTGTAACAAATATGTTGATATGGCAGATTAAACTACAAGGAGAAGTGTGGGGTGACATCTTTTATAGTTACCTAATCCATTGATTTTGACATGAAATGCTCTGTACAGTCTGATCAGAAAGTCAGAGTTCTTCTTTAAATCTAGTGATGCCAAGAGCAAATCAATGTTGCATCACTCTTAATAGGATGTTGCAGACATTATGCCAAATACATACATATTACAGATAAACCACTCTCTGATTTATGATATCAGGGGGGTGTTTCATAAAGCCGTTTGTAAAGTTACGCATGACTTTACAAACAATTTGTATATGAAGTGCCAGCTAGGATGCCCAAAGTTATATGATATTTCCAATAACCTCAATTAAATGATGGCAAAAAATATACTTTGCATTAAAAATGTTTGTTATAATAACTATGTTAATCTACATCTGGACAGTTCAACTTTAGTTGATGCAGGGAATAATGAGCAATCCTTTTGGCTTTTCATATACAAGTCGTTTGTAAAGTCACGCGTAACTTTATGAATAGCTTTATGAAACACCCCCCAGAAGAAGGTTATATTAGGGAATGGAAGATCGAGGTGGCAATAGAGACTAATTATTTTGAAAAAAACATTTGTGTGGTGGTTTCTCCATGCAGGCGTGAAGTGTACCACCTGCAGCGTGAGCTGCTCCGGGAGCGCACCCGTTGCAAGGCCCTGGAGGAGGAGCTGGAGAACCCCATGAACATCCACCGCTGGAGGAAGCTGGAGGGATCCGACCCCAGCACCTACGAGATGATCCAGAAGATACAGACCCTGCAGAAGAGGCTCATCCAAAAGACGGAGGAGGTGGTGGAGAAAGAGCTCCTCATCCAGGTAAGCAACAAAAGCTTTCTCAAGTGATCTTGATTTGATTTGATTTGATAGATTGATTTATTTCTGTTTGATTTTCTTTTTCTTTTACATTTTTACAAATATATAACAAACAAAACATTGTTAGTCGAATAATAAGGCTGGCTGTAACTAATTGAAAACATCAAACAGGAGGGTTGACAAAGTAAGCAACGCTTGATAGCATGACTACAAAACAGAAATAAGCGCCACCATTGCATTCGAGGCAGGGATGGTGGGGGGGGGGGGGGGACTAGGAAAGAACTATCTTTACTATCACTATAAAATACATGGTTTCAGATTAAAGAGTGGTGTGGGGGGGATGCCTTTTCCTGGAAAATATTCATATCGCTCCCCCCCCCTCAACATTCTTGAATACGATATTCCCCTGGTCTGTTTAGAAAATTGCCACCCCTGCTTCATGCTAAATCCCCACTGATCGAAGTACAGGCTGTTTTTTTAGAATAATTCTAGTGATATTAAACAGGAATTCAGCCCACAAAAAAATTATGTAATACATGTATTATGGAAAATACTGTTTTGAATAGGTTATAGTTCATTTTATTAAATGGCTCTGGCATGTACTTGAAATTCAAAAGGATTTGCACAGCATTTGAAGGATACTGACAGTTATAAGTGATTAAGTCCTATTGATAAGAGATGCCGACATGAAATTGAATAGACTGGGATTCATGATACATTGAACTGTGACCTGGCTGATTTGTATTACAGGAGAAGGAGAAGTTGTACGTGGAGCTGAAGCATATCCTAGCCCGCCAGCCAGGACCAGAGGTGGCTGAACAGCTTCAGATCTACCAACAGACACTCAAAGACAAGACCAAACAGCTCAAGGTAAAATAATGGACATATTTTTCAACCCTTACAGAAAAAAGATGGTACTACCACGGTACTTCCATGTTACAGACAGTACTACCATGGCTCAATATACCTGTATGTAGTGTACCGTAATAATTACCAAAATACTGTGTACCATGGTAATTTTCTGTACTAGAAGCACTACCGTAAAATCCTTTGATTGGGCAAAGGCATTGTTTAACAATGTTAAATCTGAGATGCATGGCCCTACATGAACGTGTTATCAGTGTCTATGATATGGTGTAATATTGATGCCCTACAAAAATCATGCTTCCAAATGATCATGAAGTGCCTCAAAAAAATAAAAATCTTTGAGGGACCGATTTTATCATTCTCATTTATCTGAATAGTCTGTAGCGTTATAAAACTGGTAGGAAAACAAATTCTGAAATTTCTAATTTCAATCATAGATATCTTGATAATCAGACAGGCGATTGGCTCATAAAAGTCATGGGATTCTCGACTGACCTAAAGGTTTATAACTATGATTGCAGCATGAGCTAAATCCAGGATTTTTTTTAGAATCTGAGGCAAAGTTACCCAATCCCTTTTAAGCAGTATTTGTACTTCCGTTACTCATATTTTCTTCTTCCGATGTTTGCATGCGCTACAGGGAATGGCATCGGAGCTGAACATGTACGAATCCCAGGTCCAAGAGTACAAGTACGAGATAGAGAGACTCGCCAAGGAGCTGCAGGATGCCAAGAAGAAGTACTATGCCCAGAAACGAAAGGAACAGCAAGCAAGGTAGGACACACTGCAATACCCATAACAAGAGTGGCTAACACCAAGGTCATCTTGACAGCAATATGCTTGTAGATAATGCCTCAGTCACACCTTTGAGTATTTGGTTTGCGTATTGCTGCATATTTATGGCAAGTCGTTTTAACATTTATTCCTATTTCTTGATATCAAGAAATTATTTTCTGTTGTAAAGCAATGGTAAATTTTGATATCAAGAATTTGATTTCTTGATTTCAAGACTTCATTTCTTGATTTCAAAAATTCAGTTCTTGATATCAAGAAATAGGAATTAATGTTAAAAAGGCTTGCCAAGAATATGCAACAATACGCAAGCTGTGACTGAGGCACAAGGCAGAAAAATTTTGAGAGTCAAGAAAGACAGATATCAAAGGTGCAAATTGATCAACATATGCAACTACTACTACCTTCCATATTCAGTTTAAAGTTTACCTTTTCAAGATTGAAAAAAAAATTGAAATATTTGTTGCTTTGTAACAAAAAATTCTCTACACGAGCTCCTACACAACGAATCATTGATATAACTTGTTTTTCTTTCTCAATATAGAGATTTTCATATTTTGGAGAAAATTTGAATGTTAGGAAACAGAGAGGGCTCAATTGATTGAATTTACCTTTTTTGTTGCTGATGTCTAATTCCTATGTTCCTTTTAAAATTGATTTATTAATATAATTTGTTTAAGTTGGATATCTATGAATATATACTGTACCATATTAACATACTCTTTCTTGTGTGTGTTCATTGCAGAGAGCGGGACAGAGCCTTAGCGCAAGCTGGAGCGCCACCTATCCAGCCGCAACGAACAGACGGTCCTAGGTTCACAGGAGGGGGCTTCAACTTGAAACAGACCGGGAAAGTAGGCGCTAGCTGAAGACTCTACCCGCCCCCAATTTAACCCAGCCATATTATTATATCTATTAAGAATATTGTATTCACCAAATCTATTTTGTGGAAAATTATCACTTGTTACCGCCTAATATTGCTAATATTTGGTATTGGCACTTTGCTATTAATCATTATGTCTGTTCCTGAAGTAATTATAGACGTTGTTTTAGAGGGAAGTGAAGAAATGGGTGGGAACTCCAATTGAGAATGTTAAAATTTGGAATGAAATGGTGGTTGACAAAATTCCCAGCAATTGCAGCTGGTAGCCTGAATATACAGATTTCAATATTCAATTCTACAAGTACAATCTATGATCTCATTGTGATTTTGTTATCATTCTCTCATATTCCTGGCAAAAACACACCCCAACTGAACCTAGACAATACAAAATGATAATCCAGTATACAACCAAAAATGTGCTTTTTGAAGTGTAATTCTTATCATTCTGCATTATACATGTACATTTTTCTTTTTCCTTATCTGAAAGATATAAGCTCTTATCAGTTCAGAGGATACTACATATATCAAACATGCATTTTCTAGATGGTTTAATATATATAGTTTATACAAACATGCTTGTTTTGCCCATATATTGTATCACATATATTATGAATAACCCATTCACTTCAAGCCGTCCATATCTTTATTATATGCAAATTGAAGACCTTGCTGTTTATATCTTGAAATAAAATGAAACTTTCACTGAAAACACTAATTTGACCATTTTCCGTTTTGTTCATTCATTATAGTATGTAGATTGGTTACCACATCTCCAAATGAAATTAAATAATTATTATATAGAAAACAAGCTCAATCATAATATAGATATAATATAGGCCTACAGGTTTTTAACCTCCCATGATACATACATGTACATATGACAGTCACTTCATATTCGTATACATGTATTTTTTAACAAGTATTTTTTAACAAGTATGTGTATGAAATACTAGTTTGTTAAATCAATATAGAAATGCAACACAAAAAACCCCCTAAAACCTATGTTTTTCACTTTCTTTCAATCCTGTTGACAACTTACCATTTGTGTAAAGTTGTTAAAATTCATTATTTCATTTTTCAAAAAAGTTTACTCACAGATATCTTATTCCAAGAACTCAAAGTTTACTTCCTTTATCTAGGTCCTACTAAATTACTTCTAACTACCGGTATGCTCCCTACACTCGTAGCTTTGTAATTGTAATTTGCCTTGGAAGTATTATTAGCCAGTTTCTTCAGTCGTGTTTCAATAAGGATTAACTCTTTGCCTGCTTTTGGTCAACCAATGTATCAAACACTGGACTGATACGGTCTACATTTTGTCACACATGTATTACACATAAACCATGTACTCCTAGTAATGTTGCAGTCTTGGGTTTCGATCCATAGCGTATAAAGAGTTACAAAGTTATTCTATTGCTGTCATACTGGACAGTTTCAATAGTATAAGATTTACTTCTGTGGGGACTTTCGTCCACCAAAGCAACTAAAGCAGGCAAAGGGACAGCATCCCGGAGAGATCGTTGAACTCTCGTCGTCAGATGTCAAAGCCTCGTAGCTGGTGATGCTGAGGTAGCCTCCGCCTGTATGCAGGGGGGGTGACGGAGATGGAGATAAAGGGAGAGATAAAGAGAGAGATGGGGAGAGGGGGACAGAGACACATAGAGAGAGAGATGGGGGAGAGGGAGAAAGGGGGAGGGAGAAAGGGGGGGGGGGGGAGAGGGAGGAAGAGGGAGGAAGGAGAGAGAGAGAGAGAGGGGGGGGGGGAGGCAAGGGAGAATAGAGAGGAGAAAGGGAGAAGGACGATGAGGAGAGAGATGAATATAAAGAGTGGAGAAGGAAGAAAGAATAGAGAGAGGAACGAGAGAGTGTGTGAAAGTGAAGAGAGTGATAGGGAGAAGAAAAGATATTGACAGAAATATGGAAAGATTGTTATTTGTAAGTTGTATCCGATTTACAAAAAAATGTGATTAAAACAAAAATAGAATAAATGGGGATGAATATAGAGAGAATGTCTTATTCACTAATCAAATGGGTTATTAAGATACCAAAGACATTTTTCATTTTATACTGATTACCTTTCTGTATTCCATGTTTTTGTCAATGATAAAACAGACAAGATTTATATAAAACAGCCACAAACAAACACTTCTTACACTCTCCGTTTTAAAGATAACAGATCAGCTAAACAACGAAAAAGTAAATTGATGGATATTTCCCCCTTTTATACAATTAAGGATTAGAATCCAGTATGCGTGACCACCTGCTAATTTGCGTCCTCGAATGATAAATAAAAACATGACTTTACCATTTTTGAGAGACTTGGGTAGCTCCAGTTTTCTTCGAATAAGACCACCTCCCGAGGAGGAAACGGTGGATGCTCGACCCAGGGTCCTGGGAGTAGAGATGTTCGAACCAGGCGTACAGAAGTAAACCTCGGCGCCGCGTGTTCCCTCCATGAAACCGTCTGATCGGTTCGCTTGAGTGGAATAACGTCTGTCAGGGGATGAATTACTGTAGGTCGTCCTAATCAAGACAGAAAGAAAAAGCAGTAATGTATGATTCGTATTGCATGGGTACAGCCCACGAAACCGATGACGGGCAACCTTTAAAGAGACCGGCATTATCGGTCGGGTATATCGGTCGGGTATATAGGCCTTCTGATATTTATCTGATGGCTGAAAATTAAGGGGACAGAGCCAATCAAAAGATGAACAACAAAAAGATGTGTAAATGAAATTGTAGTCAAACATGCATTCAGCATATTGTCACACACAGGCAATATGCTTTCTCAATTCAAATTAAACTTAACATTTATACTTACATCAATGTTCTTTCTACCTAATTTCAGACAATCACAAGATATTGTGTCTATCAGACCTTAGAGAGAGAGAGAGAGAGAGAGAGAGGAAGAGAGGGAGAGAGGAAGAGAGGGAGAGAGGGAGAGAGAGAGAGAGAGAGAGAGAGAGCTATAGAGAGAAGGGGGAGAATGTGATGGGGGAGTGGATAGCTAGTGTGGGGGGGGGGGGGTGGGGTGGGGGTGAGAAGGGGGAGACGGAGAATCAAAGCCTCTGTAGCATGCATACTATTAACTATTAAATAGTTCATGTAAGCTTACAAGTAATCGGTGTCCTCATCATCTGATGCAAGTTCGTTGAACCCTTGGCCGAGGTAGAAATGATCACCACGAGCATGAGAGCAGAGCATTGTCTGCACCTCGGCGTCGTTGTGATCTACCTGCAATTGAGCAATACATGACAATTCCGATGAATAATAGTAATCATAACAATTAGATAATACTGCTGAATAATGATGATAATTAATGATGATAACAATTATATTCTTAATACTGAAAAAGCTACAATTAAAATGCGCAATTTGCCTATTCATGGATTCCCCCTCCCAGATGCCGCTTGTCTTGGGCACTTAAAAAAGTGCTCCATGTTTGGTTTCATATTAATAAATGAATACAATATAGAATGTTTTGATACTTTCAGATTTTTATTTACTTTAACTGTGCTAAGTTGGAAACCTTGAAGTGATGGAATACGAGCCCAAGTAACTTTAATGTACTTTTTTGTTATAAAATTATTAAGAGAAAAACAAAGTATATATTGAATAATTCCAAAGAAGCCGAAGTTTGGTTATTAACTGTCAAGTAAAATTTATTCCATAAATGAACTTCAGAAGAATCAGTACTTAAAATGTCCATTCAGTAGAAAGGGTTCAGAGATCTTTCTTAGATCTTTCCTTTCAAAACATCCAGCACAAGCTCTGGGGTTTAAGGTCCAGAGTAAGAAGATGCCAAACCATTGTCATAACTCATCCTTATTCTTATGTTTCTCTTGTTTAACTCTCTCCTTTTCTATGTTTTTATCCTTCATATTATTCTATGACTATGACATAACTCTCGAGTTTTTCTCTGTTTCTCTCCTTCTTGCCTATGTGTCATGCGCTGTACCAAAACGTTTAATTAATTATTTATTATTATATTATTGTATGACTATGATATATATGTATAGATTTGTAAGATTTTTTGCTTTTTTGAATTAAATTTCTAAGCTCCATGTAATTCAGACCTTGGGCTAATATATGGATTTAAAAACAAACCTATTTTAATTTCAATTTCAATTTTAATATAGCCTAGCACATGCATGCACAGTTACGCAATAGAATTGACGCCTTTGGTGCAAATGACACGCTTTCATCATAATTTTACCCACCTCATTCATTGAGAGTTCTTTATTCAGTGTGGCAACTTCGGTCTTGGCTTCATGCAGTTCTTTTCTCAGCTTCGTTGAACAAATTTTGTGCCAGAAAAGGTAATTTGGAAAAAAATATAAAAGATAACAAATAAAAATAGACTTGGAAAACTCATGTGAGCGCATGCAGTTACTATTCGCATCTGAACTGTCTAAATTTATTTGTCTTTTGCACTATTTACATCATGTGTAATTAGTGAAAATATTGTAAACTGTGGACAAATGTAAAATAAAAAACATTAATTCCACTGTCCTCATGAATATGTAAGCAATTGTTTCAGTTTTCAGGCTCAGTTAATTGTTCCAAATTATTTTACATTTTTTTCACAGTTTACATTTTTTTTCACTAAGTAGGCCTTGATAGCGCAAAACACATTAATTCCACTGTTAAAGACATAACGGAAGGTGAGGACCTCATATCAATCTGTTTGCATGCAGTTTTTATTGTAAAGATTAAACTAAAAGAAAAGAGAAATAATGGTAGCTATGCTTATTGTGTATATGCCCGAAAATGACCTATTGTGTGGTTGTTGTCATTAAATCGAAGAAGAAGAAAATATCTAATGTTCGGAATTCGACTTTAATTCTATATATTTTATCAACATTGTTGAACACAATAATATAAAAACCAAAGTTTAAGGTTAGTTTAATACCTTCGCATTTTCCAGAACGAGTATACTGCTGGCTTGTGCCTGTTCGATGACGAACTCATTAAAGCTATGGTCCCATCCCTCAACTCTGATCTCAGTACCGCCACCCCCATCGCCTCCAATGGCATCTTCCATGATGACGTCATCCCGCTTCTCGCATGCGATAAGTCGCTGAGGCGTTACCTTGGCGACTGAATGAAATTGATGCGGAACATTCAACAGGTGTATGAACTATTACAGTAAAGTTCTCATTGGCTGAGGGTGATCATAACTGAAATTGAGAGAATACTCGCATAGTTACTATAAAACAAACCTGTTAAATTGCTACACATTATGCAATACAGAAAGACAACATTTATTTCGTCAAATCGAAATTGAAATTAAATTTGAAAATTGCAAATTGCAAATTGCAAATTGCAAATTGAAAATGTGAAATCTAGTTTGTTTGTTGCTAAATGCACTTTCTAAATACACCATGTGGAGGCCCTACAGGAATAGATATCTACTCTGTCAGGAATCATTTGATGAATCTCTTTATTTTTAGTGGAAATCCATGCTGAGAATAATAAAGGAATCGACAGTCAAAAGAGTAAACCAAACCACTATTTCATTATCATTTTGGAGTGGATTCAACTATCAACCTAAAGGATCCCTAATATGACTCATAAACGAGCCTGGATAGCCATTCCACTATTATCCGCACATGGCCATTGATATCATCAAAGTCATTCAATACAGATAACAGGCTCCTTCAAAAAAAAATATATATCTTGAGAAATATAATTTCACAGTTATTTGTA